TATGCACAGTATAATAGTAAGTAAATATAGACAGTACAGAAAAATAAACAGGGAATCGGAATACACGTGAACGAAGCAGTTCCGGCTCCATTAGTGATTTGTATTATTTTTAAGATTTTTTTAATTTTTTACAAAACACATAATTATCAATCATTAAATCTCAATTTACCGTAACCGAGAATAGGGTGAGGGATCCTTACCTAGATCGGTGTTTTGAGATGTCGCACTATCTACTACACCTCATAATGAGTTCCGAGATTCCTAAATTTTCCTGCGAGAATCCAAAATACTCGTCACGCTACTAAAAATCTCCCCAAAACCCCTAAATCAGTGTTGAGAACCTCTTTTCGATCAATTTTAGGGTTTCAACACAGCGACACCACCATGCTCCGGAATCGACTCCATTGCCCACGGCAGTGGTTCACCTCGGTTTGGCTGATTTTAATTGGTTTTGGCCAATTTTACATGTATCCCTGTGAAAAAACATGTTAGGAGGCCTCGGTTGGCCAAAAAATCATAAAAAACTAAACCTACCGGCGGGGGAATCTCCAATTGCGGCGGCTCTGCCAGTTCTCATTCGTGGTTGGGGTTTCTTCTTCGACTAACTTGTACAAAAAAGGATGGTGAACACAATAGTCAGAAAATCACGTGAAATAGGAAGTTGGAAGGGGCTCATCAAAGGGATTTGAAGGTTTCTGTAGCTGTGGCTTCGTCGGGCTTTGCCCGCAGGTTTCGACTCACTCATCGTCACTTTTGCTCTGATATGGCCACGAAGAGACTTGAAATTGAATTCTGAGCGGGTATGGGAGAATTTTACCTTTTTTGGCAGTCGGCGGTGGCTCCGGTGTATCGACGGCTGGGGGTCAGTCTCATTCTCCAGCGAGGGCACCTGCTAGGGTTAGGATTTTCCTGCGACGTGATGTTTTTATACTCATCTTGCATCGATCTGGACCATCCATTTGCATCGACGTGGAGCGATGTGAGCCGTCCGAATGTTGCCTATTTAAGCCGATTGCATGAGCGAATCTGGACGGTTTATCGCGATTGATCTCGTCCGTCCGATCGTGTTTAAGAAGGGAATGCATCTGAGCCGTTTATGTGCGCGGAATTGAATCTAGGCTGTTGGATTGTTGGGCACACGGCTCGCCTGCGTGGCGGCCGATGTCAGCGTGTTTTACCATCTGGCGTGCTTTGGTTCGCTGTGGCTACTGATTAGGTTGTCCTATGTGGCTAAATTTTTTTTTTTTTTGCATTTTGACCCCCCTATTTTTAATTTTTCTTTCAAAAATACCCCCCGAACTCAATTTTTTACCCCTCTTCCCCAAAATTTCTTTTAATTACGTCCCTAACCTATTTTCTCAAATAATTTAATAAAATAAAATTAAAATAATATTTTTAATTATTTTTATAAACACAAAAATTGATTCCATATCAAATTTCGAAACCGTATATTATATTTAATGTCAATAATTTACTAATCTAAACACATTTTTGTCCATATTTTGTGGGTAAACTATAACATTCGGTCTCGAAAATTAGGCCTAGGATAATTAAATTATAATCATAAGATAATTTTAAAAAAATTTATTTTTAATTTTTAATTGAAATTTTGAAGAAAATTGTATTTTGGATGTATTTGAAAACATTTTCAAAAAATCAGGACCAAAGTAGAAATAAGGAAAGACTTATTTGAAAAGAAATCTGAAAATTTTGGGTAAAAATAAAAATAACAAAAATGTGGCCCCGTGGACTGTCACATTAACAGTGCGGCCGGTTGCTATGCGCCTCGTGGCAGACACGTAAACACACTCCACATGGGAAACAACACGCTGATGATCCGTATGCCAACAAATGCAACAGCTCAGATCTCCTCTCGTGTGCACGGACGACCCATATCTATTTTCTCTTCAGGCACGATCGAACAGTCAGATTTAATCTAATCGTGCGGTACAGGTTAATTCTCCAAATAAGAGCGATTTAACGGCTAGGAGTAGACCATGTGTCTCTGCACGGACGGTGCAGATCGACACGGAGATGGTATTTAAACGTCGCTTTTCAAATAATCTTAACCCTAGTTGCACCTGACCTCGTCGGAGAAGAAGAAGAAGAAGAAGAAGAAGAAGAAGAAGGGCAGCTAGAAAGAAAGTCGACCATCGTCGCCACCAAACCGGATCCCCCGCCACACTGGAGCCGTTGCCGACACCAAGGAGGTAAGTTATTTCCCCCTTTCACTTTAGAATTTGATTGTAAGCCTCCCCACACCCATATTGACGCCAAAAAGCCAAAAGGGAAGCCGAAAACTAAGAGCGAAGCTCAGCTGAGCCGCGACCCAAAAACTACTCTGATGAGCCTAATCCTGCTTCCCGTTCCCTTTAATCTTTCTACCCTTGAATTCTTAACACATTTATAGTACAGGAACGACATAAGAAAATCCCTGGCCGCAGGAGAGAAACGACGGAGTCGCTGCACCGAAAAATTCTCCATTGCCAGTAAACTTCGATTTTCCCATTTTTCGGCCAACAGAGGCTCCCTTATCTTAAAATTTGCAGGTTTTTGCACAAAACTGGCCAAAAACAGTTGAAATTGGCCAAACAGAGAGGAGACATTGTTTTGGGCAGCGGAACCAGTGCCGGAGCATGGCAGCGTTGTCGTGCCGGAACCCTAAACCGATCAATAAATTAAAAAAACCCTTATTTTTGGCTTTTTGAGGTGTTTTGGAATATGTGACGTGTATTTTTAATTTTTGCAAAAAAAATTCAAGAAATCCGAGAATCGCGAGGAAGTGCGGTAGAAAATGTGGTGTTTTATTGATCCGGTGTAAGAATCCCTCACCCTTTTCTCCCATTATGGTTAATTGAAGTTTAATAAATAACAATAGTATAAATTGTGAATATTAGCCTAGTTAATTAAATACAAGTAACTAGTGGAATCGGTAACTAGTTAGTATGAAATTGCTTATTTTACCTATATTGTTTATCTATTGGTAGACTGTATTTGTTTGCTTACTACATGCATTTTAATTCACTGGTTTACTTACATTTTCAATTCATTGATTTACTTAACCGTTTAACCCTATTTGTTGATTGATTTGAAATAAATATCATGATCACGTTTTTCTTAATTGTCAAAGTATCAATTTATACTGTCTGTTTAAATATCGTTCTATTGATCCGTTAATATGTAATGAGATAGTTGGGTGTAATTAGTGGCTGATGGATGATGTAAACATGTGTATAAAAGACTTACTGGGTATCATGAAAAATGATGTATGAACCCGATACATAGGGCAAACCCTATCGTGGACATTACCTCAGTCGAACGAGACTAAGAAGTCTCATACCGAATAGGGTTGGAAAGTAATTGTTCACCCTTATATTGGACAGAGTATTGAGACGGTAGTACGTTTGGCGCCCATTATTGGATGGGGTATGAGGACGACCAGTTAATTGATAAATTGGATATTGGGTCCACATGTAGAAAAAACCTCTATTGACCCCTAGAGTTATCGGTAAGTAGGTGAAAAATGTAAAATTTTATTATTATTGTCCTTAGAATGTATCACAAATTACTATCTTGATTTCTGCCTTCACAAGTCAAATTTGGAAATTTAAAAAGTGGGTATGAAACTTACGTTTTTACATTAAATGAATTTGTTTAAAAAGAAAAATGGTTTCATTAGTTATTTTATGATTTTTACCAACCTTTAGTTTTTCGTATCGGTGCTAAGTGTTGACATTCTTACTGTGATAGTGTAGCTCATCCTCCTTATTTAACTATTTCATATCAAGAAGATCAAAATTTGGATTCTGAACAACATGAAAGTTAGCGACTAAAGATTACCTCCCGCATCCTATCAGAGTTGCCTAGCGGAAGTTGACCTTATAGGAGTTGAGTTACATTTTCATTTCTGTTATTTTAATTTTGTTAAAAAGACAATATCGTAACTCTATTAGACTATCTAATTTAATGTGTAATAAATGTAAACTGTAAATTCTCGATTGCTTCCGTTACTATTTTATTAATTCAACATTTTCATTTCAATTAAACTTTGGACCTTTACATAAACAATTAGAGAAATGAGGTGATATTTGTTAGCTTATTACACAAGTAATTGAACAAGTAAAAACATAGGTTTTAAAAATCTATGTATTAATTGAATTAAAGATGATAAAATTATGATAAATTTTAACAAATTTATTATATTTATAGATAAAAAATATTTTATAATAACTAACTAAAGAATATAACATATTAAAATCCCCACATATTTTTTTTTAACAAAAAAATCATGGTTGCCATCTATGGATATGTTATTTATTTTACATGACCAACCTTAAACATTTTCAATATTTTTTTAATTAAAAAAGTAAATTATAAAATCTCTTTAAATTTTTATCAGATATAAAAAATCTGTCTGAATAAAAATTATAAATTATTATATAATTTACTTGCTAAATCTAGACTGAATTTCCTATAATGTCTTACTATTTAATAATAGATTATCATAAAATCTTTGAGTTTTAATTTAAATTACAAAACTATGTCAATATTAAATTATTTAAATTAATAGAGTAATTAATTAATAATTAAGATTAATCACTAACTTTATTACTAAATTTTGTAAAACTATATATAGAAATTTCTATAATTTACTCTAAGAAATCAATATTGTTAAAATTAAAAGAACGACGGCAGCTCGCGAGCGACAATCCCCTCATTTTCTTACCAACCGCAATCGGATCCAATTACGAGGACACAGACAGGACAAAACACGAGTTCAGGGAGCCAGGCCTGGTCCCATTCGCCATCAAATCTTCCGCCGTCTGGCTAGTCAACAAACTGTTGTCAGTTAATCGAACGGATCTAACCCACCCACCACTCAGATCTCATCCTTCTCCAAAGTCAACTATTCTTTTCCTCCAATCGAACGGCTTAAAACGCTCCGTGGCAAAATGTTTTCTTGATCCCGCCCACACCATGTCACCGTCTAATCCATTTTTGCTGCTCGTCGATTTTTCTCTTCCCTTCCCTTTCCTATTTTTCTCTACCAAACAGGTATTTCTCCCCCTCCTTTTCTTGATTATAGACAGTACAGGAGATATCTAGAGATTTGATATCGATTCTCGATTATTCTCTCTCAGTGAAAAAGGATAGCTCTTCTACTCTTCAATGGCAATTTCTCTGTCAGCATCTACGATGCCTTCAGTGAATACGCGAGACTTGAGTAAACTATCTGCTTTTTCATCGAAATCATCTTCTTTCTCTTCTGTTAAATTTCCTGTACAGGTTGGCAGACTTAAAATCGGTAACAAGAGAATTTCATCTCCTTCAAGACCTCCATATCTTCCTCTTGCGGTAATTTCTCCTTCACATTTTCTCTCTGTGAAAATCATGTCTTACATTTATTTACTACTTTTACTCCAGTTTTTATACAATTGAGCAGTAGATATCATGCCGAATTAAATCGAATGACTGGTTTCTATATTGTATTTATTACACTGAGACTCGAAATTAATCGATTTAGCTGATTGTATAACCGTTCCTGGATTATTGGGTAATGTTAGACAAAGGAAATTTTGGTATTACACTATTAAGTTCTTAAATTTAGGTCAGCTCTTAAAAATTGAACTTGTAACTTCTGCTAATTTTTATTTTCACGCTGTCCGGTTGCCAATTGGTGTAAATATTTCTCTTAATGGTAGCATCTTGAGTAAAGAAAAGTTGCGAGCAGCTTTCTTTTAATATCATTTTTATTAAAAAATTTACACTATTTATGTTGCGTTCTCATTCTTGGAAATTTGAATAAATCTCAACCAGAATGCATCTTGAGTTGTTTGACCTTCAGCTACTTAATGAATAAGTAGTTGACAGGGTATTGCTTTGGCCAAATGTCTTGTTTAGGTTGAGGCAAAGAAACAAACATTTTCTAACTTCGACGAGTTGCTGGAAAATTCAGACAAACCAGTCTTAGTTGATTTCTATGCAACCTGGTGAGTATTTTCTTGACTTTTTCTTATCTTCCTTTCCGTGTACGAATGCTAAGTAATGATAGTAATTGTCCAATTGCATTTTGTTGGCAAGTCTATCCATTGCTGCTAACCATCACTTGAGAAATTAATAGGGAAAATAATATTGCATTATTCTTCTGGGCAACTTTTGCAAAGGCATTATTCTTCTGGGCAATTTTTGCAAAGGCATTATTCTTTATGTTTCACACCTTGAATTACCAGGCAAGCTCATTAGTCAGTTGACAACTAAGGTATACCTGTCAGTTTGGTATCTTCTGCAATGCACAGGAGTTACCAGGCCTAAAGCTGCTTCTGGAAACGTGAAAATAATTTTAAATTTAGCTTGATAACTAGTAAAGTGGGCTGTGGTTTGCAGGTGTGGACCTTGTCAATTCATGGTTCCAATCCTCAGTGAAGTCAGTGCTACTTTGAAAGATAAGATCCAGGTGGTGAAGATTGACACTGAGAAGTACACTGCCATTGCTGATAAGTACCAAATAGAAGCACTTCCTTCTTTCATATTATTTAAGGATGGGAAGCCCATAGATCGCTTTGTAAGTATCTTTCGGCTCTTTAAGAGCATTCAATTTTTGCTTATTTATTCTTATTAGAAGATTAGATTGAATCTCCACGAGAGGGTTCAAATTTTGCTTTTTCATTCTTATTAGAACAAAAGATTGCATCTCCATGTAATCATCATTTACACTTCTAAAAATCATCAATGGTCTATACAATAGTAATCAGTCAGAAAAACCCTCTTGTTCAATTTCTTTCAAGGATAATTTTTTATTTGAAGTTCTTTGACAATCTCAGTTTTCTCACTTACTCTCAGGAGGGTGCTTTGACAGCCAATCAGCTAATAGAACGCATTGAGAATTCTTTGAAGGTGAAGCACTAGTTGTGGGTGAGCCCTAGAGGCATGTGTCCTACATCTCCCCTTTCTCTGGTAACAAATCTAGATGGCGGTAGGCCCTTCTAGTTCTGGTGATTTTAGCTGACAGAATTTCATAATCTGATGTAACCAAGCAATTCAAGAACAAAACTTGTGGAAAAAAAGCACAGCAAGATTGTCTCTTTCTTAGTTTACATATTATTGACATTGTATTGAAAGAAACATACAAATCATTACACAGGATCTAGAGTTTTTTTTCAATGGTTGCCTATTCTGTCAAGTGAAGTGAGACTGAAACTTTATTGGCAAGTGCTACACCTTGTATTTGCACAATGTTTGGATTTGTAGCGAGTTTTGACAAGAGAATGTTGCATTCCTTTTTAATCTTTGGATGAACAAACAAGACCCAGCAAACACCAGAGTGGCAAATTTTCAAGGGGTGAGATCTTGCACCACTTCTGTTTCTAACTGGTTTTCATCATCATCAAGTACAGGAACCATTTTGAGGGAGAGTTAATTTCAATTTGGGGGATTGAGTGGAGGATTGGCATTGCTGTGGCAAAACAAACAGTATCCATATACCTACAAGAAGCAGGATGCTTTTTCAGTTTTTCTCACTTGATTGATTGGCATCTTTTTCTCTCACAGCTTTTCTTGACGTACTAAATTGCAATTACATAAATTCGTTTTAAATTAGTATTATGTCGTCTAGAACAAATAGAGTTACAAGAAAATGTAGATTCCATTTGTAAATTAAATTTTATGCTACAAATTATTTAAAATTTAAACTTCTTAGTTGAATAAAATGTATTTTAAATTTAATTGGATTTGATAAATTTACAAATATTATATGATTTTGTTTGTCTTTTTCCTTCCTATTAATTATAAGTTAGACGAGGATTTGCTTGACTGTATATATTAGGAATGATAAAGATTTTTCTTAAAAATATATATTTTTTATTTTTTATGTTTTTAAAAATGTGTTTTTCCAAAATAAAATATAATTTTTTGTTTATTCTAAATTAATATTTTTGTAGTTATTAGTTTGAATGGCTTGCTTCTATGAACATATATAATAAGCATGTTAATTATTAAAATCAGTCAATTTAATGAAAATTAATCTGTTAATTTATTTGTTAAAATAATGAGTTTTGTACATCTAAATTTTTTCTTCATATTTTATTATTTTATATAAATTTTGGAACCATTTTTTTGTGTGAATATAAATAATTAAATTGGAAAGGAAGCTATGGCTGTCATCCGCACTGCCAGTGGCTTGGGCGCCATTGGAAGTGACCTCAAAGAAGCTTGACACTTCACAGGGATGGAGATGGAAATGCGAGCGAGGGAGAAGATACAGATAGGTCAAAACATAACTCCACCTCTCCCTCCCCTCGCTTTCTCCCTCGTCGATCCCTTCCTCTCATCTCACTGTTCCTCATGCTTCTCTCCTATCCCTTCCCATGGTCATCACCCTCCTTTCCTTCCTCCCTCCCTCTCCCACAACGACCATCTCCCATCTCTCCTCTACTGCTCTCGTTCTTGCTCTCTCTCTGACTCCCCCCTCCACCTCTCTTCCGGCGAATTCCACTTCCTCCAATCCCTCCCCGGTACCTCCTCTTCCCTGCCCTCTTCCGACATTCGCACCGCCCTCCGTCTCCTCCACTCCGTCTCTGTCCCCTCCGCCAATCCCCACCGCATTTCCGGCCTATTGATCAACCGCTATCGACTGATTTCCGACGATTCTTGGGTTTCATCCAGCATTCGCCAGGGGGCCAGGGCGATGGCCGCCGCCAGGAGGAGAGCGCGAGGGGAGGAAGGAGTCCTGGATGAACATGACCTCGTTTTGGAGGAGTCGGTTCTCTGCTTGATCATCACAAACGCTGTGGAGGTGCAGGATGATTCTGGGCGCACCCTCGGGACTTCTGTCTATGACTGGGCTTTCTCTTGGATCAATCACAGTTGCTCTCCCAATGCCTCTTACAGTTTTGAGATCTCCCCACCCAACGCCACTTCCTCAAATGAGAACTCGAGGAAGCTGCTGATCGTCCCGCACGTCATTGGCAATGACAATGCTGAAGTAAAGTATTCAGGCATCTAAACATGTGTATATGTTTATGGTTGTTGGAATTGAGAGTTTTGAAGGTATTGGTTGGTGGTGATTGCAGGGAGAGAATGTTGGTTCTTGCTATACTGAATTTCAACAAGGTTCGTATAGTTATTATTACTTTCAGATTAGGCTTGTTTCTGGGACTTACATATCATTTCTCTCTTGTTTCTTTCTTTTGTGCAGGGAGAAATCAAGGGTTTGGTCCAAGATTGATAGTTAGAAGTATCAAGACGATTGAGAAAGGCGAGGATGTGACTATATCCTACACCAACTTGTTGCAACCTAAGGTATTTTCTGTTTTCCAATTTATTACATGGTAATCAATGAAACTATAAGCAGCTTTCTGATACTGTTTTTCAAGTTCATATCTTTTTCCATTGACTTTACTGAGGATTATTTCAAGCTGGTAACCTTTCTCAGTTGGTAATTGGCTTCGTTTATGTAGGTATTTGGCCTAGCTACAGTTTTTATTAGTGACTTTTGTCCTATTTTGTGCTTTCGTTAAAAACTAAGAGCTCTTTATTTATTTATTTTTAAATTCCCTTGACCATTCTGATAAATTTCAACTGGTAGAGTTTAGTTTAAATTTCAATTCCATAAAATAATAACAGGAATACAATATAAATATTCAACTGGCAGAGTTCAGTTTAAATTTTAATTCCATGAGATAGTTATAGGAATACAATATAAATAGGACAGAATAATAGAAATTTGATTCAAAATGTCTTTGATCAAAAGTTAATTAGATGTCTAATTCAACTTATGTATTTTTGTAATTCCTACATTGTCAAGGTGAAAATACAAATCATTATTGTGGAATCAAAGATATGAGTAGAGTCGATTCAATCATGCGTCAAATATGTAAGTTATAACTTTTATATATCAAATAATTTAAGATCTAGGACTTGAACATGAATAGAGTAGGTTTGAACCAAAGGCAACGTATGGGTGTTGCACCCAATCCATATGTGTCCATCTTCCTAACCCGAATTGCCTGCAGTATAACCTATCCATTTAACTAAATTCTGCTATTGTCATAGAGTATGAATCCTATGTTATTATGATGGTGTGGCCGTGGGATTATATAAGAGAGAGAAAGGATTCAGAAGGAAGGAGTTTGTTCTGTCCTTGATAAATTTAGCATTATTGACGTGTAGTCCATCGTGCTTGTGATCATTATTTGAGATAGAACGTGAGCGCCATTGGTATATGAATATATTTTTTAGTTTTCAATTTTTTATTTATATGCTTTTATATATTTGTTATTCATAAAAATATGTAAAAAATGTGTTTTTTGTGTAATTTTAAACACAAGCAAAAGAGTTTTAAGAAAACACTAAAGGCAACATTTTATAATTTTTAAACTCCATAATCATTTTTGCTATTATTTACATCATTATTAACCATCTTAGATATTTTTTTAATATAAAAATACATATGAAATTAGAAAACAGGAACTAGGAAAGGTTTTTTCTTATGAGGGTGGAAACTACCTTAGTAAGATTAGAAACTCAATAAGAGTATTGGGAAGCATGACCACTAGGCTACCATGCCTGGGTCAAAAATTAGGAAAGCTTTTCATGTACCAAATGGAATCATATATCTGTTCACGCTTTTTTCATCTCATACTTCAAGTTGTTAGTAGCTCTCAGCATCTATAGTTTTTTCCCTAGTTCTTAGGTTTGAATTTTGTTAACAATTTTTTCCCTGTTTCCCAAGTACTGTTTTATTTTATTCAATTAATTCCTTTTCAGGCAATGAGACAATCAGAGTTATGTGCAAAATATCACTTTATCTGTTGCTGTAGGAGATGTAGAGCCTCACCCCCAGCTTATGTAGATCACGTGTTAGAGGTAAAGTTTGCAAGAACAAGATGTATATTTTGTTTAGTTGACGTTATATTTTCATCAGGTTAACCTTGTAGCCAGCTGCAAGTAAAATTCCTAATCATTTTTTCCATTTTGTACAACTGTAGGCTTATATCTTAACTCCCCCTGGATCTTTCTGTTGAGAGTCCACTGTTGTTGAGTCTTGACTCCAATAGGACAAGCACTTACTAACTGAACTAGAGCTGGAATCTGCCATGGACTTTCATTTTAAGAATTTCAGATCTAAACCTATACTTGAAACTCTGGTGCATTGCATATTTGGCAAGAAATTTGCAGTGGAGTTATGGAAAACCCCTGCCTTTCTGGGTTGTATTTCTCCTAGAAAATTACGAGTATCTCACTCTTGTTTTCTGAATTGTTTAGAAAAATCTGCTTGTCATTCCTTAGTTGAATGTTGTTAAGCTCTGTGCAGGATATATCCTGGCGATTTGCTGATTGATCTGTCTTAACGGAGTTAATTTCTATTAATTCTTATCTACATCCTTGGATTTAGAACTTTTTTATTGGAATTTTTTTTTCTGATCTGAACAGTGAGGAACCATTATCACCGTACTGGCTTCAATCTTCTCCTTTCTGAGTGTCATTTTATGATGAGACAAGGTCCAAAGGGAGATAGAGAAAGGGAACTTGTTTCATCTCTTATCTGAAAATTTTGAAGATGGTCGAGTTTTCTAAACAGCTACCCTGAAGAAGTACTAATGCTGAGTTTTTGTTGTCCTGTCTAGGGAATTTATACTTTCAAGAGAGAGTTTACAAGAAACTGTTCTGATAACAACTTCTACACAGATGAAGGGGATGAATCAGCTAGAAAAATCACCGACTATGTTGAGGAAGCCATAAGTGAGTATCTTGATGTTGGTGATCCAGAGTCTTGCTGCGTGAAACTTGAACACATGCTTTCTCAGGGTTTGGTGGATGAGTACTTAGAAACAAATGACAGAAAATCACAGCTTATCTACAGGTTACATCCCCTGCACTATCTTGCTCTCAATGCATACACCACACTGGCTTCAGCATATAAAATACGCTCTGATGACTTAATGGCTCTTCATTCTGAAGCTGATGTCAAACAGTTGGAAGCTTTTGAGATGAGCAGAGCCAGTGCGGCATACTCACTGTTGCTCGCATCTGCAACTTACCATCTCTTTTTGTCAGAATCTTCTCTGATTCTATCTGCTGCAAATTTCTGGACAAATGCTGGACAATCCTTAATATCCCTTGCTACTAGTTCAGTTTGGGGTCTGTTTATAAAAAGGCAGTTGCTTATTCCGTATCTTCCTTCTCTTGCAAAACATGAATGCACCAAGTGCTCAATGACAGAGATATGTGAACCTAATTTATCTTTTAGTCAAGTTCCATATTCTGATTTGGAGGAGATATCCAGCAAGTTCACAAACTGTGTTACTAATATGGTTCGAGAGGTTTGGAGTTTTCTGGTTCATGGTTGCCATTATTTGGAAATATTCAAAGACCCCATTGATTTCAGCTGGGTTGGTCAGTCTTCTAATATTTTGGATTTTGAGGGTTGTTTGGGCAGCTCTAGCAAGCATTCTAGACATGATAGACAGCATGAAGGGTGGTATGCTAACAAGAGGGAAACTATATTTCATCTTGGTATTCACTGTTCACAATTAGGTATGCTCTTAGAAAAAGGTATTATACTTAAGAGTTCCCATTAACTTGTCATATTGAGACATGCTTTCCTATGCATATTAATTCATGAAATAAGATTTGAAGAAAATTACAAAAAATATTGCTGCCTATGTAATAGATAATTTGTTTTTCCGTAGAATATTATTTACTATAAATGACTACTACCTTATTAAATAACATCTACATAACATACATACATATATATATATATATATAACGCGAGCGTGCCGGCACGTTAAATGGTAAGATATTTGATTGAACAGTTTCTTGTATGTTGCTAGCTTCTGACTGTAGGCAGCAGGAGAAAAGATCAACAATACTTGAGTTGAGGGTCCAAGGGCAACCGCCAGGTTATTTGGTGCAGATAGTTCTCGTGTCTCTAATCTGACGGGCCTTGTGCTTGACTGTGTGACCCCATGGCCACCAGAATGAACTATCAAAACAAAATCGGACTATACATATATATACACACACACACACACACATATATATAAAGAAAGGAATGTATTGTATAACCATTAATATAATCAAGTTCAAATATAGTATTGGTGAATAAATCTGGTTTAATATTTGGACCTCGTCAAATTAGTAAAGGATAGATTGATATAAACTCTGATTAAATAAACAGTTTCTGCTATAATGTTAAATAAAAATATTTTGATTAGTTTTTCACTAAAATGCATCTATGAAGATCAATAGTAATAGTATTAATAATAGTAACAGTAATAATTATAGTTATAGTGGGTAGAAAAGAATCATGGAGAAAGGTGAGTTATTTTTCACTAATGTCTCTGTACAATATTTTTCTTGTAGTAGAGGAAGGATTCGAAGTGGAGCAGTAAGAGTAAATTTGAAATTTTTTGTCCATTTTATCTTGAGTTTGCAATGTTAATCGAACAATGCACCTTTGAGGGTTTGTCCCACGTAATTATATATATATATATATATATATATATAAATCTTATTTTAAGCAAGAATCGGGATTTATATCTTTTTTTTAAACGAAGATTCAGATAATGTAAGCTCAAAATCTGTTTATGTATATACATATATATATTTACTCTTGTGAGTTAATGAATTTTTTATTTGCTGTTTATTCATATAAATTCGATCCCAATGTTATTACTTAACATATGTATAACACGTGTCAAACTAGAGTGTGGTAAAAATAAAAAAATCTATATCTTAATTTCACTTGAAATAGAGAATGTGGTAAAGATAAAAATGGTAAAAATAGGTGATAGGGTAAAAAAAAATTAGTGAGGTAAAAAATTACCTTATCCTACAAACACTGCATGCGTGCAATCTGGCATCGTGCATATAATTACACGAGTCATTTTGCTCCGTAAGGTCCTATTGACCACCTTTAACCATCTCCCTCCTCCGCTATATAAACCGGGTTTCCTATCAACAATTTAAACTAATCACAGCTTTGAATCTTGATTATTTAAAAATTAAAAACTAATTATTCTTCCAGAAATTCGTGGAGAAATGGCATTTAGGTTAATGGTGCGTTCTTCCATTTCTTCATCATTCATGGAGGATATATTGTCAATCTAATTATACTAACAAATGTTTCAAGTAATTTTTTCAGAATCGTCTGCGAACCCTGGTCTCTCAATCAGGATACAACCGATCCTTTGCCTCTTCATCGGCCACTTCATCTGTTCAGTCATCAAAGTAAGAACTAATAATTATAATGCGTTTGGTTCGATTTTCTCAACTGTTGGAAAAACAAAAACAGCATTGATAAGTAGTGAAAATGCAGGATGGCGATGACGGCGGATATGGCGCCAATCTACATGATCGGCGGATTTGTGGCGATAGCGTTAGGTTTGGCGGGACACACAATGAAGCAGCACCTGGTACATTCCCCGGA